CACAAAACTCCTGCAGAAAGGTTAGAATAACTGGAATTACTTATCAGTGGAGAGTAAAAGATGTAAGGAGTGACTTGGTAATGATCTTCATGTGTGTGAGGTGGTGTTTTAGTCCGTTTTGTGTTGCTATGACAGAAATACCTGAGACTGGGTAATTTATAAAGGAAAGAGGTTTATTTGGCCTATGATTCTGGGACAGCTGCATCTGGCCTGGGCCTCAGGCTGCTTCTACTCAGGGCAGAAAAACAGCAGGCAGCCGGTGGGTACAAGCAGATCACATGGCGAAAGGAAGCAAGAGAGAGAGAGAAAAAGTGCCAGGGTCTTTTTAATCAATGTGCTCTTGCAGGAACTAATAGAGCGAGAACTCACTCATTAATCCCCCCTCCCCCAGGGAGAGCATTAATCCATTCATGAGGGATCCTCCCCCATGACTCAATCAGTTTCCAACACTGCCACATTGGGGATCAAATTTCCACATGAGTTTTGGAGGGGACAATATATCCAAACTCCATCAGGTGGTGTTGTATTAGGTGGAAAATGTTGGGAACAGGGAATGTCTTACATGTATCAAATGCAATGCTTGGCACATAAACATTAAAGATGTTTATGTGCCAAGGAAAAAAAGGTGGCCAAAGGGCAAGGCCAGGCTTTTGAATAGCTTTATAAAATCACTAAGTTTTCCAGAATATCATTGACCCTCAATATCTACTTCGAGTACATCGAAGTCATGACCTGTTCCTTGTCCTTGTCCTTAGTAAGTCCATATTCCCTTATAGTCATCTAAAAGGAAACAGAAAGGATAGGCTGATTTTATGATATTTTGAAGGCCTGTTTCTTCCTTTTCTGTAAGCCAGCTGCTGCTCACTGCTTTCTCTCTAGGCCAGTCTGCATTTATTGCAGACCATGTGCATGTGGGCCCGGATACTTTTGTTGCTGACCAGCCTCAACACTGGCTAAATAAATACAAAACCTGATTTACTGTGTTTTTCTTCTTTGTGCCTGCAGGTTCAAATATGAATACAAAAAAGTCAAAGCATTCTTTTTGCAGAATCTTTCAGGAATAACATAAAAAAACTAGATTAGAAAATTATTCTTAAAGTTCAAGATAATTAAGAAAGAAAAGATCTTTAAAATGTGGTGCCCTCTGATAGGGCTCACTATATACTAGTTTACTTAGGGAAACTTTTTTTGCATATTTTAATATAATGATGAAATAATCACAAAGGGGTACAACTGCTTAGAATGAACCACATACTTACCCTGGTAGGGAGTAATTCTAGGCAATGTTTATTGCTTGCTGAGATATATCAGCCTAATTATTTTAATTGACTAAGCTTGAGCTGTGTCAGAGGATAAAGCAAGTAAAAATGGTGGCTACATTTGCTGCTAGGTTCATGTGGTACCACATGTGCAGATATTTCACAATTTCCATTATTTTAGCCAAATAAATGAAGTTATTTTATAGGAAGGAAACAGAATATTCAAACTCTCCTAGGTTTTTGAGGAGACCAAAAAAGCCAGTTTACGACGTCTCAGTAGCCTAGAAATGTGAAGGCCCAGAGTGCTTTACTGTCCTTTTTAGCTTGATCCTCTTTCTTTAGTTAACAGAGATTCTGTAGGAAGAATTTCCTTTTAATTTATCTTGGCCATTTCTTTCATTCTCCTGGGGGTAGAGGCCTATTTGGGTACAGTTGTTTAGTCTTCTGCTGGCCCAGAACTGGCCAGTCTGGTTGCACTGTTTTCTTCTATGCTGTGATGGAAATAGAGAAGGCTGGCTGAGCTGTTCCCCCTGGGACCACTTGCCATTTTCCTCAAGGCACAGGCAGCTCCAGTTGTCTTGCAACTCGGCAGTGTAGATCTGTGGTTTGTGTATGGATTGTTGGGGGCATTTGACGCCAGCTTTGTAGGGAGCATTTTTTGTTCCTCTTTGGTGCCAGATACAAGGGGTTCTTTGCCTTTCTGCTGGCTGACACCAGGCTGTTTCAGGGTTCCTGTGGTTTCTACAACTTTGCAGTAGGACTCTGCTTGATAAACTGTCTTCCGGTAGTTGGTCATGGATCAAGTAGAGACTTTATAATCAGAATTAATTAATAAGACAAAATGTGCAATCTCCTTTTCAGGATATCTTCAAAAAAAGAGTTTACATTTTTGTTAGTCTGAAATAGCTTAGCTTAGAGGTGGAAACTGAATATTTTACTCAATTCTATGACTGCAGTGATGATATAATCCATAATATAGCAATGATGAAATAATGAAAAACTTTAAAAATTGCTTCATGACTTGCATCTATTACATATGTGACCTAATTATTATTTGGTCAACTTTATCAAGGCAAGGAAAATATTGAATATTTTGAAGAAAATAATCATTGTTTATATTTCATAAAAATGCCTTTCAGAAGGACATAAAAAAAGAGTGGGTTTCTTTTAAAACAGAAGTTAGCTAGTGATGTCCTCATTTTTTGGTAATAGGTTTAAATTTAGATATAAAGAATATTTATGTAAGCAAATGTATAATGTCAGTTTTCCCCATGAAAACTTTTCTGTATATTTTGAATATCTGTACATGCCACACATATGCACAGAGAATAATACTTGGAGGTAATTGCCCCATTAATGTTTCTCTTTCTCTTTAAAAATAGGGCCCAACTGTTCCGATTTGAAGCAGCCTATGTACTTGGGATTTGAAAAAGACGTCTTTAAAACTATAGCAGATTACTATGGTCACTTGAAAGAGCCTCTGCTTACATTTCATCTTTTTGATGCTTTTGTCAGTGTATTAGGTAAGTTGGAATATAATGAACATAGTCTGCATTATTCATGTAGAATCATTCCGTTTTTCACTGTCTTCAGACTTCCATTAACAAAAGCTCACAGCATTTTAAAATTTATGCTGATAGGGTGCTGGGCATACCTGCAGTCCTGCTCTATGAAGGAGTAAAATAAAATGGTTAAATACCATCATGAAACTCAAAGCAAGGGCCAGTAGTTTTTATTTCTTAAGAAAGAATAATACGTTGTCTGTCATTTTTATATACAAGAGTATAACTTTACTGGTAGAGAAGAATGTAAATTTGACATTTACTTTTCATGACTAAATCTGTTACTCTGGATATGAATAGTCAAGTGTGTGAGGTATACTTTCATTTAGAAATCGAATTTCTTTTTATAGAAGAAAGGTGTTTGTAGGACTATTGGTTATTCGAGACATGTAAAATAAATATGGTAACTTTATCATTCACCAAAACTTGTTGCTATTCCTCATATAGATTTATACTTTAAAATTTAAACTATGAAAGAACCATGTAAAGAAAGGAAAAAAAATCAACATTATTGCTATAGGTCTTTCTGATACTGTTCCTTTCTTCCTGGAAATCAGATTTTCCTGTTGGCTGTTGTAATTGTTCAATGAGTATTATTGTCTTCTTGGCAAAGGTTTGTTTTAAAGACAAATTATTATGTAGGTATCATATTCTGTTATGTAAATTTGTAGCAATTAGCATACTCTTTATTTTTGTGTATTGTGGGATTTAACAGTATTTATTTTTTTCACTTTCCTTTTTTCTCCTGCTTCTCTTTTCTTCCTTCTTTCTATCTTTCTTTTTGGAAAGTATGGATTGTGCCGTAGTATCCTAACAAAATATCAGCAATATGTGAATAAATTACCTGATCACAGTGCTTTAAATTTTAAGCTTTGGTAGGTTCTCTGATAATATCAAAGAAAATTCAACAATTATAAATCATTACAGAAGAATGAGTATTTTCAGACAGTGTTGGGAGCAAATGAAGGGATTAGGCCTAAGACTGGAGTTTGAGAACACTTGGTCTTGTCATTATTTTGTTTCCAACCAAGGAGGATTGGGGGCTTACGTACTTGTGATGATCATGCCTAATGATGAATACTTGCTGTTGTTTAGTATGCTTGTGGACTAATTGAGTAGATTCCCATTATAGCCTCTTGTTGCCATTACGCCACTGGTAAAAGAAGAGTCTTAAAGACTAGATTAAAAATCACTTCTTAGATTTTCTTCTCATTTTCCATTTTCATAATGTTCTATAGTAAAATTATCTGATTTAGAAATAAAAGGACTTGGAAATTTTTTTAAAAATTCTATCTAGAGGGCCGGCCCGGTGGCGCACTCGGTAGAGTGCGGCGCTTGGGAGCGCGG